AACCGGGCGGTCCGCCTCCCGGAGGGAAAGAGGCTGCGGGCCGAGTACTGAAGACTGCGGCCAAGGTGAAGATTAGAGTTATCAAACAAGGGAACGTCATTGGAGTTTGTTTGGTTGTTTTGCTGTTGATGATAATTGTTTGTATTGTGTTGGAGTGAGGAGGAGTGGGACGGTATTTATAAAGGGTTTAGGGGTTCATGAGCATGACGCAAAGTGTGGTAGTAAAAATCAAGAATGCATGTGACTGTGAGAGTTTGGTGAATTGTTATGTGTACTTTATTCATAAATTATCTAAATTGGAAACTAAATTGGAATCATTTATGTTTGAGAATGATCTATTAATTTTTATGAAAACTAATTTGTTAGTTGTTGACAATACTATTAAGTCCCCAATTAAAAAAGTCGATAAATAGTTCAAAAAAATATTGCTTGTTTTCTTAAAGTTATTTAATTTCCAAAATTTATATATACTACAAAAAATTACCCCCATAATTTATTTTTTTGAACATGACTAATGAGGAATAAATGACTAAATTCACATAGTAAAATATAAGGTAAGGTTGCTAGCAAATGTAATAGTTTGACAATCATATTTTTTTTAAATAAATATAAATCTTTTCATACTAAAATGCCATGCTATTCCAACAAATAATAGACAAAATTGCATAAAAATTTACCACTTTTTTAGCTTCTGCAATTTAATTACATGATAATTTAACGATTACAAACTTGATAAAATTTCATAACGGTACCGTAGCATTTTAAAAAAAGTGATGGGATAGGTTGTAATTAAGAGGGCAGCAAGCCGCTCAATTCTCGGACGCCCTTCGAAAACGTTCTGTACCATGGGACCCGTGATTTCTATTCTATGCACAGAAATAATACATAAATAAATAATTAATTAATTAAATAAAATTCTTCCAGCATGTATTTTTAGAATATCTCCACATGGATATTAATATTAATTATTATATTGGCCACTAGTTTTTTACATACGTATTTTTTATAATATAATATAATATAAAATATTGCCAATTTGCCTTTTGCCCCCATTTCATAACTCAAACATTTTTTTATTTTCTCTTTTATTTTTTTGCATGATAATTTATTACTTTTTTTTTCTAATTAAAGACAAATAATGTTAAATTAATAGGATGAAAATATTGTAATAATATTTAAGGCACGTGACATTTTGGACCTTATTTATGTGTCTGTGTTACATATTTTCCGAAATTTTGCGTAAATTCGAAACGAATTTATTGATCAAGTAAAAAAGCTTATGTCATGAATGCACACATTCCAACACAAAAATAAAATGTTTTTAAACTAAATTTAAATAATTTTTTCTATAGTAGGTGTCCTATAAGATTTGTGATGGTCCATACTTGCAACACACACCGCACGTTACTAACATTAAAAAAAAATTAGTACAATACTCGTGTACAACACATGTGTTGAATTAAGAAATATACTAGTACAACACCCGTGTATTACACGGGTGCTTGCTAATTTTTTTTTAAAAATTTAAAATTAATGAGAAAAAGTAGTTTGAAAATTTAAATACCTTTTATAAGAATATATATATATATATTATTATATATTTATTATGATACTTTTTATTTGTGCCACTTACTTGTATTATATTATACTAATTTTTTAACTTGCATTATATAACTACATTAAATATAAATATATCAATTGAGAAAATTTTTTTTTCTAATGAATTTTAATAAATATTATTATTTTTTATTATTATAAAGATAAATATAATTTATTTTTTATATATACAATATGGATGCCAAATCGAAGATCATCAAAAGATGATTAATTTGATATATTATATATGTAAAACCGATAAGAAATACAAAAGTTATCTACTTTTAAAATACATTTATAATTCAATAGCTTATTGAAGGAAGCAAATAAAAAATTTAGAGATATATTAGTCACTTAGTGTCTGTAAAATTACAAATAATTAAAGAGTTATATTAGTAAAAGTGATATTAAAATACCTAAGTTAGCTAAATAATATTTATGGAATACCCGAACCTAGATTATTAATTATTAATATATTAATATTATTTGTCCAAACCTAATTACGAAGCACGATTCTTCGCCAAATAGGATTCCGAAGCACTAGAAGCAGCCACGTAGGCTCAGCGCATTCTGGAATTATATATATATGGAGGATTAGATTGTGGCTTAATTAGTAATTTCCTACGTTAAACATAGTTCCTATATATGCATCCAATATAATTATATATCCACATACATGTTCATCCTTAGGCGGCCGCACGTTCAACAATTCAGGTTCTTATAGTTGGGATCACAAAGATTAATTCTTGTTCCTGATCACCCTCAAAATCAGGAACCTGCTGAGCTGGGCACCCCGCGGGCCCAGTCGATCGGTGGCCGACTCCTCGAGAAACTCGGTGGAGCTCCCAAATGGCTCCCAAGCCTGGGTCATGCTCAGGGTCCTGCGTGCGGCTTAAGTCCAAGGGATGCCCCCGGGAAAGCAATATTTGGCCCATGGGAAATTGGAAATACAATTTTTGACAAATTAAAACTTGTAGTGTGACACAAAGTTTCATAATGTACTGTTAAGGGGTGACATCCTACTTTTTCAAGTTGACATCCACCATGTATATAATTCCACAATAATAATATGCTGAGCTTAAGTGACATGCTCTCACTCTTCGTAATTCTATGTTGCAAAAAATCATGCTTCGGAGTCAAACTTTGATATAAATTAATATTTTTTATAC